GTCTGCGGCTGATGAAGCTGCGACACTGCCGGAGAGAGGGAAGGTCATAGATGAATGTTTGGTGGCCGACAGAGAAAAAAATAGTTGGTGAGAAAAAGATTCGAAGTGAGTTTGATAGACATGTGATGTTCAAGTGAATTGGATAGGAATTTTCACTGTACTGGGTGAACTGGACGAATCATAGTGGCGAATTGGACGTTAAAAAGTGATTTTTAAAAACGTCCTTCTCTAACATTTTGTAAACATTGCCAAGTTCAACATCATTTACCGAAGTGATTGGCGGCTCACTTGAAAGTCTATTTCAGTAAAAATGTGTGTAAGAATATTTACTCATTTAACTACAAAATAAGTTTGAAATTTTTTTATGACTGGAAAATGTACTACGTTTAGTTTTCCCATTCCAGTTTTAATTTAATTAAAGTTTCAATATAACTGTTTTGAAACTTTAATTAAATGATTATGTGTTTTGTTTATTTTTTATCTCCGCTTTGACAGATTTTTCATCTAGTATTAACATTTTAAAATGGGTGTGAAATACCTAATTTGTTAGTAAAAACGTTTTGTGGTTATATAAATCTATTGAATTGCTTTTGAAGGAAAAATTATAACTTTGAGATAATCAATCTAATATATCTTGAATGTAATGACACTTACATAAGTTCTCTTGTTCCTGTGCGGAATGAGTGCACAAGGAACAACATTGTTATAAAGATGCTCATTAATAAGAAAATCAGATGTGTCGACTCCGGTGAGCATTATCTGAACTTAACGCTATAGTGACCATTCTTCGAACAATTAGAACAACAGACAGTCGTCATATCTACAATAAAAGTGAATCAAACCCTTTTTATTTAAATGTAGTAAAATTACATTAGTGAACATGGAAAGCAGCGGGAAACAGCAGAGTTCTTCGGTGAAAACCCCTGAACAAGTTACTACTGAATTCAAGCTTCTCAAGGCAGAATACCAGCGACTGGCCAAGAAACTTACGGAAGTAGAAATGGAACTTAATGAGCATAAGGTAGTGATTGAACATTTAAAGCAGATTGAAAGTGATAGAAAATGTTTTAGAATGATTGACGGGTATTTATGCGAAATGACAGTGAAAGATGTTCTCCCTGCTTTGGAAGATGAGAAGCGCCAAAAAGAAAATTTTATTGTAACAGTAACGAGACATTTAACGGAGAAAGAGCGTGAAATTCATGAATTCAGAGAAAAATATAAGAATGTTCGAGAGAGAGATATCCAAATATCTGCTAGTGCACTCAACAAGGAACCAATTAGAAAAATAATAGTGACCTAGTGTCAATAGTGATGTAGTAATAATAAACTAATAATAGATTGTCAGAGAAAACGTGGAAATACGTTTTTGTAAACGCACTCCTCATTGTAATAAAAGTACGTAAATTATTTGTAGTATAAACATGGGGATCTAGCTTAAGTTTTGACTATTTCGTAATAGACTGAAAAAACAAATTAATTTTACAATATGTATTATCTAAGAGTTATAATTGTAATTTTTTAATTCAGTAAGATGTCAGTGTGATTTCCAAGTAAAATCGTTCAGAAGTCGTTAAGAGGATGTATTAATTCAAGTAGTATTATGATAAAAAGGAAATATTGTAAGTGTGTGTATTAGATTTCATGATAAATACAATATGGAGGTTAATATTCATGTCGTTCAGCAATGTAACTTTGAATTCTGACGCCCGTTTGATAAATTTGAACCTTTGGCACTCACCACAGTCGTGCATGCCTTCCCAGACGTATTGCAAGAATGAAAAATAGGAAAGAATTAAGGAAAAAATGGAAATTTCATTACATCGATTTGTCAACCATAAAGAGCGTGTACAGTTAGGCGATTCGAAATCGGGATTACAAATTTTGACCACCAACTACAGGATAATTGTGCTTGCATTGTGACTACTTTCTCAAGCCTAGAAGTGATAAGTGCAGGTTGAGTCCGCGGATAAACGTTCCGTAAGCATACGCTTGCAAGAACGTTGACTTTTCGTCGCAACGAAGAGAATGCTGCAAGCATCGGCGTCGGCACGCAGTGAAAAGAGAAGGGACGTGATTTCGCGTGGTAGGCGAATTGAGCGGGGCTTAGCAGTAGAGATGATGGAAGAAACTGCGGGGAAAGGTGGGGAGTGAAAGACGCTGACTGGCGATTCCGAGCGAGAATTGCGGATGGAGTGGGTCGGTTCAGATCGGGTAGTGACTGCAGTACACGGGTCGTGGGTGCACGGGGCTAGGCGGGCCGGGATGGGTTGGTCAGAGGTAGACTGGGTTCGAAAGAGTAAAGAACAGCGCGTGGGGAGGGCAAAGGTGCCTGGAGGGAGAGGAGCGGATGGATGGGTGAGCGCTGTGAGTGAGAAGGGGAGAGCGGGGCGATCGTGGGTTTGAGAACGGCGGCTGGTGGAAAGAACGGGGAGGCGAGTGGGCGAGTAGGGCAAGAGCCAGCGGCAGCGTCGGTGCGGGCGGGCACTTGGCGGGGCGGCAGTCGAAGGGGGTGCGGAGCGAGTCGAGCGCATTGTTCCGGCGCCCCGGAGCGCCACAATTACCCGGCGACCGGGTAAACAATTGGCCGCTCGCGGACGAAGCCCCGCGAGGCCGGCCGGCCGGCTGGCTGCCGCCGCACCGCCCTAGGCCGCCTCAATGCACCACCCACCCTTGATTGCCTCCGCTCCGCTTCGCGCTCTAGCCCTCGCCCTCGCTTCCGTCCTGCCCTCGGCGCTCGTACGTCATCGCTCCGGCGAAGGGCGCGGGCGGTATATCGGCGATGGCAATCGGCACTTCGCCCCCGGAGAGGGAGCGCTGGGAGTAATGATGCAGCGTATGTTGTTTGCCGCTCAGCTCATTGCGATGCAGATAATGTATATTTTGACTCCGTTTCAACATTACTGTTACTGAGTTTTAATGATATGAAAATAATTGTTTATACCAGCAAGTATGTCGGCGAACAAAATAACCACCAATATATTTTTTGACAGTATTGTAATTTTAATTCTGGCAATTTATTGGCTTCTAATATTAAAATGTGATTTTCACCTGTTATGGTGTTTTCATTTATATTAAAAAATTAATAATTTTAGAGAACGTGCGTGTTTTGACGAGGATAGATAATTTGCGAATAACGGACGTGTATATAGTCTACCTGTTGCGTTGCTTTCCCAATGGTAAACTCTGACTAAACCAAAAACGTTGAAAATACTGGAAGTATAATTGACAAGAAATAAATTAGGCACGAGATCTCCTTGGTCGCATCGTGGCTAACGGTTCCCCTTCATATTTACTCAAACTACATACGCTGCGAGAGGCGTGTGTACTTTGGTGGGAGCCCATCGAACGTGGTGAGGACCGGGGATACTAGGAGGGTAGCAGTGGCGGCGAGGGCGGCGAGGGCGGCGAGGGCGGCGAGGGCGGCGAGGGCGGCGAGGGCGGCGAGGGCGATGTATTCTTTGGGAGCACGCAGAGAAGCACTTGGCGCTCGATGCGTCGGTCCCGATCGCCGCCGCCGCCTCCCCGAAATGGTAATGTCAGTGGCATAATGGAGTCAGCGCTCGAAAGTGATGGACGATCTGTGGCGATCGGCCCTTCCTTCGCAGCTTACTCTGCAATCCCGCTCTCTCCCTCCTTCACCCTAGCCACTTCATCTCCCTTCCCTCGCCAATCCCTCTCCTCCCCCCTCCACCCCACCGCCACTTCCACTCTTGCCCCCTGCTCGCTGTTTTCAGCTCCCACGCAAATCAAGGGCGCTCGCTCGTCCGGCCCCTCCTTCGAGTGCCTTGCTTACGCCGTGCGATATTGATCCCTCCTGTTTTTCGCTGCCGTTGGTATTCAAAAAAGACGTTAGACAATATTTCGAAGTTATAAAATGTGGGCACAACAAAATTATGTGATCTAGATCTTGCTTTAGTCTTGTTGCAAACACCCGTTTGGAACAAAATTAATTGACAATCTGATCGCACAAATTTAAACTTGTTTTATTTCTTCAATATAAAATGCTGAAATGTACGGACTAAATAGTCCTTTATGGAGGAAAAAAGTAGCTAAAAAAATAAGTTTAAAAAAACAGAGGCAAAGTACGAACAGTGAAAATGGTCTGTATAAGAAGATGCCTATATTTAATACGGTATAACAAACTCCGAAATGATGCATTGAAACAGATGGAGATAATTTGTTAAGAGTCATCAAGGAGAAGCCTGGGTAGAAGGCAAACTTTGGAATAGGAAAAATACATCAAAGAAGCCGTGGAGGACAGAAGGTTATGACCTGGTGATTGGGAAAACCGAGATCTGTGGAGGTCGAAAACGACAAATTCTCAAATAAGAAGAACATATACGGACTAATTAAATTCTTTGAGCACTATAATGTATTATACCACATTGTTGTCCTTATAGTTCTTTCGTACAAATACGATTTGAAGTTTATGGGAGAGTGAAATAACTATTTCGTTTATTATTTTCATTATTAAAGGAACGACTTATTTTATATTACTTCAAGCGGAACCTTGATTTGCACGAAAAGATTAAATTATATACAGATTCAATAACTTTTAAAGATGCAATTTATGAAAGCTTTTTAAATTTGGAAATCTTTTAAACTTCTGAGCAGTATTTTTGCCTAAAATGTTTTTATATTAACGAAGATTGTAATGATGACATTTTTATTTACGATACTCTGTACACACATGTCATCACCATCCTGCCAAAGAGAAATTGTGAGACCAGTCACAATAATTATTGGTTGCACATTAATATTATTTCTTATTTTTAGTACACTTCAGTGCAATTCTTTTTGTATTTTAAACGAGTTTTAAAATGTTTTAATAATATGTAGGAATTTTGCAGTACTTGTAATTCTAATAAACTAATAATTGTGTGTTAATACTATCGAACTCCTAGTTCTTGTTGTTCTTTCCGCTCATTTGTGAGTGAGCATTTTAAAGGAAATTGACAACTTAATAAGTGTTTTGATTCATTTCTTGTTTTTTGCAGGTATGTATGGAGAACTTTGCATCCCTTCCAAAAATGTGAGTAATAAAAATAGCGCGCTAATCCGGCATCTAAAGAAAACACACAAACGTAGAAATGATACTGCGGGGCGAAGGGACACATTGTTCTCACCTTACGTACATGAAATCTGAAATCTGAAAAGCCGAGAATGATCGATAGTTCGATTCTTGACGGGATGCACGTATAGATTTCTCGGTCAGATAAGTAATGCGCTCGGCCTCGTGGACTGAGAACGCAGGTCAACGAGAACGATCTGTAATAGAATGCATTTTGTGCGGCTCTAAGCTCCTAGAAGCTCTAGATTCCACGAAGTATTCTGCCCTGTAAGCATCTTACGTGATTCCTCTAGAGATCACAAAGCGCAGTGAGGAATCTCTGCATCGAAGTCTCTATAGAGACGTGACTTCGCTTTTGTGTTCGCGTCCCCTTCCTGCTCTTTGGCAATACAGCGTTGGGAACTCACCCGCCCACCCATCAACCTACCAATACACACGCCCACCTGCTAACTCACTCACACTTCCAATCAAAAACCGATCCACCAACCCACTCACCTATCCAAGCACCCACTCACTTCACTGCCCTTTCTCACACACACCCTCGACTCACCCGCTCCCCAACTGCCCATTACTTTTCCGTGATTCAGATACTTTGATTCAGCGGCAGCGCCAGAGCCACCGAACCAACGCTCCGCTAGCCACCCACGCAAACACACACCCCCGCCCTGGGCGAATCCTCGGCCGTTGCGTCACCGAACCGAGCGGAGCCGAGCCGTGCTGGGATGTTGCGCCTTCGAAACGTGCAAGCGCTTTCCACGTCGTCTCTTCTAGCACCTCGATAGCCCAACCCTCTCCCCCGCCGCCCACGCGCGCCGCGCTTCACCCCTCGGTGCCCAGCGCGTCGACGCTCCTCTCCCTAGTTCGCCCCCATTCGTTCCCTCCACCCCGCCAACCTTCCCACCGCCATGCCGCTGCCCCTCTCCCTGACGTCCCACCGCCGCACTACCTCCACCGTTCCCACCATCCCACTACTTCTCTACAGTCTCAACGCCGTGCCTCCCCCCCACCTCCCTCCACCCTCCCGCCGCCAGGCACCTCCACCCTCGCCACTCCGTCACTGATTATTTCCGCCACATCCACACCCCCGCCGCCCCCGCCATTTATGCCAAATTGTGCGATCCGTCGACCCTCATCATCCTCACCCATTCCTAAAAAACCCTCACCGCCTTCTCCCGCCGTCTCTCTGCCCCCCCGCCCATGCCTCCCACGCCGCTCTCGACAGCATCTCCGTCCGCCCGCCCCGTCCCCGCCGCCCCCCGCCGCTCTCACTGCCCTCGCTGCGGCCAAACGCGGCGGCCGCCGCCGCAGACGTGTTTTCCATCGGATGTTGACGCGCTGGGTTGCCTGCGACGAAAGTAAAGCAAATGCTATTTTGCATGGGCGCCCTACCTCTCTTCGCTCCGGAGAAAAAGAGCCGCGCGCTTTTGTTTATGTTAAACGAGATATTAATGAAACTGTTTTTGTATCGCGCTACAATTTTAAAGATAAGGTAGATGGTATATCATGTTGATGTAGAATATTGTCATTACAATACGCTTACACACTCGGACGGTTGGGTGGTCAGGCTTAAGTTAAGGATGTTTTCAAAAGTTCTTGGAGATTCTTATCTTCGGAATGTAAAACATGTCACTGTCTGCCAATATCTACAAAATGAGGATTGCACGAAAACTGAGGAAATACTAAGTGCTATTATTTTAAAGTTTTCAACAATAAATTATAATTCAGAATACCTTAGAGACTGTGTGGCGTGAATAGTGGAAATAGAGGACGTTTCCAAAGTCAATTTTTGTAAATGTCACAATATTACCAATGATATAAATTATTATTTGCTATAACCGTTTTTGAAATTGCAAATAAAATATCAGCTTTTTAAAATCCTACTGAATATCCACTTAATGCTTTCCATTGAATTAAATAGCAAGAAGTAACGGAGACTTTCAGTTCAACCGTCGGTCGAATGCTTTCTGAATTTTATGTGCATAATTATATTTTACTTGATTTCTTATGATTATTGATCTTATTGTTTGGTTTCGACGAATTTTATAATAATTTTTAAGAATTTGTTTCTGGTTTAAAATTTAATAGACAAAAATAGTTATTCACTGTATATAATTTTAATTTCATAACATTTTCAAAATTGATGAAACTGTACTTAAACCCTGATTAGCCGAGAGTCCTATGTTTTACAACCGTATTATTCCATTTTGGATTTTTCGTACTATTTGGAATATTACCAGTATTTCATTGAATACACGGATTACGGAAAGTGCTAAATGAATTACAAATGAATGTACTTGTGAAAATAACGGTCACTGCTCAGTCTCTTTGAGTAGGATTTAATATTAACACCCATGCAATCCATCTCATTTACAATGCATGAGTGAGCTAAATGCATTAGTGTCTATTTAATGTTCTTCTTTTCCTCTGCACGGTTGAAAGACGTTTGCATTCTTAGGGATTTAAAGTGATGTATTGGTTTGTTGAATACATAATTTCCAAGTTTTCAATTCTCAATTTTCCGGATAATTCTTGTGATTTTGAGATAATACTTTTGTGGATTTGTTTTCCTATTACATGTACCGAATGCAAGATGAATGATATGAAAGGTGAGCCAGAAAGTTCTACAAAACATACCTTGCAGCTTTACGTAGATTTTAACGTAACAATTATTGATTTGAAGATGATTGTAGTGAATTTGAGTAGCGATTAATTGTAGTGAATACATCGACATCATTTTGAGAGCAAACATTAAGTACAGTAGGGAAATACATTTCCTGTTTACTAGAAAACCATTCAAACTATTCTGCGCCAACTTGCATTACAGCATTACTTAGTACGTCAAAACACGTTTAAACCCTCATTTAGGCTAGCAACCGGAAGTCGAATTTAATGCTTGTGGAAAGTCTCCAAAAAATATTTTGTCTTTCATTCTAATATCGTAACGTTGCCTCTTCTTACTTCATTGCTTTAACACTGAGTTGATATGATTTATTATCGTAAATTAAAAAACAACACCAACATGGAAATATATTGGAGGAATATTGTTGATTTGCCACATGAATATATTTACTATGATTTTGAGCAAATGTCAGATACAATGATCAACATGGACTCATATTGCACATCAGCACGATGGAAGGAGAGAGTTTGGTGAGAATAAAATGACTACACCTGGAGTATTAAGTGTCTGCCGCGTGGGGGGGTGTCTGTAGTGATCGAAAGTTGGAAGGGCGCAAAAGAGAAGTACTCACTGTGACAGATCACACATTACACGGTGAAAACAATACACATTCTCACGACTTACAGTAGGAATGCCGCGTGACCTGTTCGTTGCTACGAAACCATGCACTGGCTGCGATGGCTCAATGGCAACATTTCCGTTGCGCCTGCAGCGACGCTGAGCGCGAGGTCGTAAGGCTAGAGTCGCCAGCTAGATAGCTAGGTCGAGTTATGCCGCTGTAGTTTCGTGGCTTTTCCGAACTGTACCGGATCGACAAGGCGAATGCCGAACCAGAACTTTAGCTCTCGAGCGCTATCATTCTTGCACCTCAGCTCTCGAGCGCTAATATTTCTTCTTCATCGTTGTCCCCTTCTCTCGACACACACACACACACACACACACACACACTCACACACACACACACACACACACTACAAAAACTCTCATTTTTAACTACAGTACTACTAATGTTAGAGATAAGAGAGTTTATAGAGTTTATAAGAACTTGCCGAGGCTGGGGCCATGCCCCGCTGGAGAGATACTAGAAAAGGAAACCCGCAAGCTAAATTGAAGATCGGAGCCGCATTGCACGTTCCACAGGAGGAGACATAACTCCGCCACCCTCTGAAGTATAACATGCGTTGCACTTCATAGCCATGGCAGTTCACGGGCCAGAAAACATTAAATAATAAATGCCACATGCACCGCCATTATGTCGCGTCGGGCGTCTATTAGAACAGTGCGGTCTCCGGACAGGGATCTGGCCGTGGCACGCGGGCGCACTTTGCACTAACCAATGCACTGGAACGGGGCAGAAGCGTTCTCCGCGCTGCGCTCTCCCCTGTCGTTCCGTCATGTTTGTCTGGTGGCGTTTCGTCCACCGTCCATGCATTTCACGCACGACGCTTTTGTATCTAACGCGTTATCTAATAGTGTACTCTATTTTGGTGTTCAGTACCTTAATTTTTACGTACTTTCTTTTCTCATGTCGTTTATTTCCTCGTTTAATCAGATTTCCCACTTACATTTTCCTTCTACTTTGTTCAAACCCCAGTTGCATTTTCCTTCGTACGTCGCTTTTACTTTTTTTTGTCGGATTCCTTTTAAATATATCGAACTCCTCTTGAATATTTTTTATCGTTTGTGTAGCTTACGTGCACGAAACACACGCATTATAGCCCTCTTTCCTTGAGTCATTTGATTGTATATTGGTTTGTTTACTACTTTTTGTTTAACATATTATTGTCATAGGTATTATGCCGTTTTGAACTACCTACTATTTACTGTTTTAATATAATAATATTTTTTATGATAATGTGTTGCTTTTTACATTTCCTACTCGCAATTCCGTGTAGATACTTCTCTCTAGTGTAGCTCGTGCTGGTGTGCGCCCCACCTGCCGCGGTGTGTCCGTCTCCCAGCTGTCCCCTGCGCCAGCTTGCGGTTGCCCGCCCACCAGGCTGCTCGGCCCAGCGCCGCGCCGCCGCCTGGCGCGGAGATCCCGGCTGCTCATTCGGCCACTTTCACCCATCGAAAGCACGCGTTGTTTTCCAGCGTTATTACCTTCCGCTTCCAAAGAAAAGGTCACTCTGACGCATGCGCTGGCCGGCCGGAATGTTGTCATCGGAATTCCGAGTATTTTCACGTCGTAAGCGTCTGTGCTGCATACATCAATCGAAAGAAATCGTCTTTAATTTTGTTTGTTAACATTAGTCAATTCCTGTTTCACAGCGAATGAATTAAGTTTTTATGTAATCAGACGCTTCGGGAGGCTTCATATTACGCGAGTTGTATGAAAATGCCTATTTTTACTGTGTGTTAAATTGTTGGAGAAAGTACTTTTAGACATTCCACT